TTCCAAATTATACAAAATTAGGGCTAGATTGCTTAGTCACATACAAGATTTAAATATCTTCTCAAGGAATCTGGCTCCAATTTCTGCTGAAGTCCACACACCCTTAATCCTCGATCTAAATGCTATGCATCATTAATGAGTCTACTTATACGTCATAAACAAATTTATTCAATTATAAGAAGTCGCAGTGCAATAATCAGGTAAATAAGAAATCAGGTCAGTGCATCAATTATGGGCATTGTATCCAATGACAGATATCATTCATTCATTTCAATCATCGGCACTCACATTCATTAATCAATCATTACCCACTCACTCCTTAGATCACCTACTCCCGAAGTAGAGGCCATATCCATTAAGCTAAGCCAATCCAATTGCTTAGGACCTCTACCATCCTTCAGGGGGGAGGGCAATGACAAGTGGGTGAATCCACTTTGTAATGCCCTCATACTCACACACGCGGCCCCCCAGCTCACATTGGGGGATCGATAGGTACTTACCTTAGCGTCAGTCAGTAGTCTCATCTCAGAAATCTCGGGGGGTATGACCTTTCCATTTCAGTTTTCCCTAATTGCATCCTATCATTTAGCATGTTACGGAATTAGCCGGCATCACTTTCGTCATTATAGCAGCCCCCACGACCGATGGATGCTCCATCGCGTAGCGGGCAGCATCAGTAAAACAGTATCAGTAAACAATATCCACTACCGATGGGTGCCCCATCGCATAGTGGCCAGTAGCACGGTACCATAACATAACAGTATCCACTACCGATGGGTTCCCCATCGCGTAGTGGTCGTTATCACAGGATCTTATCATGATTAAGCATTCAGTTCACATAATATTATAACATTTAGCATAAAGCATTCATTATGTGAGCTATCACATGGCATTTACGCTTAGACATCATCAATAGCATCACGACACTTATCATGCAATATTTGTCATGAAATCATCACATTAGCATTGCCCTTATCATTCATCACATATCGCATAGTTGCATGGCACCGTCCTCATAATATGCTGGTATTCACATGAAAATTACCACCTAGCACTCACACTTATCACTTTTCAAAGATGACATAGTGGATAGTGATATGCCCCAGCATTTCGGGGCATAACTCTCAATTTATGGGGAATTTCAAAATCCTTGAAACATGCAACTTTAATCTCATTCATGGATATTTCAAATGGTGGCGGTTTGAAGATGTTTGGACATTGTTTGATAGGTCAAAATTTTAGGGCAAAATAGGTGTCAGTCACTGGAATTTACAGCGACTGTAGACAGCAACATACCTCGACACTTTGGGGTATATCTCTCGATCCATATGAAATTTCAATGTGGTATAAAAAGAAAACTTGAAATAGACACACTAATCTTTCATTTAAGATCAATTTGGGCCCATTCGAGTGCCGTTTGATCACCAAAAAGTCTGATGCAAGGACCCTTATAGTTGCCTTGCCATAAGTTTTAGCGTGCTTTCAAACATAACGCAGCATTTCACAAATCAAGGCAAATTTTAAGGTAAAACCTTGTTTATATCAAGGAGATTTTGCAAGGAAATTACTCCGAAAATTTATCAAGTTTATTCATAACACTCAATCACTCATTCAACTTCATTTTAATGCATTTACATTCATGGACTTCATTCTATTATTTTACCCATTAAATTTACTTAAGTTAATCCTTATCAAACAAAAAATGCATAGCACTAAACCGACTTATTGGTCCTTCACGGTGTCTCCAAACTCCACGAGGTGGCCTCCTTCAAATCTCCACACAGGTTTATCAAGGTAGCAGTCAACTGCCACTAAGTCTCTTAGGGAGGGAGAGAGAGCAGATGAAGGAGATGGCATTGGCAGGGAGAGGAGAGAGGCTTATGTCAAATTTCTCTCTCTCTCTCTTGATATATATATATATATATATAAAAGCACATGTAGTATGAGTAACACGCCATACTATAAATAGTTCAAAATAGTATGATCAACATTAGATTTACATCACGCAGGTCTTACTTTAATTGTCGCCGTGCATCGCTTCGCATCCAGTGTGCCCTAGGGTTGCACCCAAGCGACTATCCTGTATATCCATAATATTTACATCTGGCTATAATATAGGCTACATGATTTGAAGCGATTAACCTAGATATCCTCAATATTCATACGTGGCTATGATACAGGCTACATGATCTAGTGGGACGTCATGTAGATTACATTGATTCCCATCCATGGAATCTCATCTTGACCTCTCATCGAGGCGGTATTCACACTAATGTGTGTATCATCTTCCAATATCCCCAACATTGAAGGTGCTCTATGCTGGGCAAGTAGCGGACTAAGCGTGCCGACACTTTATCTTATAATGACAATGCGACCTAGTTCAAAAGATTGAATGTGCATTCATACCATGTGTATGCACCATTGTTCGCAAGATCGCCCGATCTAACCGCTAACCGCCCGGTTAGATCAGAACCGGCCAGGGTTTTGGCCGGTTAGGGTGATCAACCAAATTTTTTTTTAAAAAAAATTCAAATAAATGTGTATAAATTCTCAAAAATAAGAAATTTGAGTTGTAAAGCATTTTTAAATATTCTTTATATTAGGGTAAAGATTAAAAATCATTTTGGTCATTAATACTCACTTTCATATTTTCTCATATTTTTAGAAAATTTTAAAAATAGCCCCCGGAAAATATAAAATGGGTTAAAATGTATTTTTTCGTTAATTTTTAACGTCATTTGAATGTGTTTTGTTTTAATCATTTTTTATATGCTTTTCATATTTTAGTATATTTTTTTCTATCTTTTTTTTTTTTTCAACACTTTTTTGACCGCTCAAGACTTGCCCGGTTAGATCCGTTGAATTGGCTGGTTTACTAGTTAGGCCAGTTAAACCGCTTTTAAACCCATGTCCGGTTAACTCTTCCGGTTCGATTTTTGCGAACACTGGTATGCACATTGAAAAAACTAATAATAAATCACTCAATTATTATATAGTTATGGAAAGAATCAAACAACATCAATGGTATATAAACAATTACGGACTTTAAAGTTTTATTCCTCCGACATGAGCCTTATACATTTCTCTAGCATTTCTCGAGCATAGGCTTGGTCAAAGGATCATCTACCATTCTATTTGTGGGAATATGCGTCATAACAATATTTTCTTGTCAACTATATCGTGCATATATTGAAACTTGATATCTACGTGCATTATCTTAATGTGATACTTTGGGCCCTTTGGGAAAGCCAATGCCACCATACTATCACAATACACGTTTACGGGCTCTCCAGCACTAAATACGCGATAAGTTTGCAAGAACCTCTGGAGCCATAAGCCCTCCTGTGATGCTGCACAATTAGAATTGCACATCTCCACAGTTGACAATGTCATGCATGTCTTCTTCTTGCCACACCAGGAAACTGCTACCCACATAGTGAAAACATTTCCGACTTACATTCGTTAAAGTGTCCCGTCCAATCTGTCTCAAAAAAAACAAAAACAAAAAAGTCTCCCACCCAATTAGCATCACTAATTCATCATAAATGAAGAGGGTGGAGGCACCCCCTGTAAATGGGAATTGAGTGAGGAGAAAGGGGGGCTGGTTCCCCGTTTCCACCGAATGTCAAGGGCATTAGGACAGGTTAAATTTTAATTTTTGGGCTGGCACCAGAAAATGATCAAATATAGGTAACTTGCCAAAAAAAATAAAAAAAATGCGTCAGGCAGAAATGTGCAATGTCCTTTGAAAATTATTGCCCGCATAATATTTTTTTTCCAAGTATCCAAATGGCCACATAATTTTCTTTTGAGGCAACAGTGTTCCAAACCCAAGGTACAATGAGAACAAAGAAAAGCTATTAAAATATAAAAGAAAATAAACGAAGAGACTGTTTACTTTCCGTACAAAGAAATCAGAATTACTCTTGTCCATCATATTTCAAATCGAGAAGTTGTAAGAGTGTTATTTATTGGACTCAAATTCAAAAACATTTCTCAAATTTTGTAACATATTGTAAGCCATCCAATTTGATATCTAATGACTAGAAATAATTGCAGCCTCCTTATAACAAAAATAAATGATCTCACGGTATACAATCCAAAAATCTTCTTTAAACACCAAGGCTTATTTTGGGTTTGTTCATAAAGTTTTTGACCATGAATAATTGCTGCTCCCGAATCAGTACAGAGGGCCGATCTAATACCAAACACTAAATTTTTACACCCTCCATTTACCCAAGTTTTTTAAGATAGTAGTAAAATTCTAGATTAACATATATAATGAAAGCAAATTTGATTAAACCCGGACATCATTATCACTTATTTATAGACATAATAAAATGAAATCTGAATAGACTTAACACTGACTTCATTACCATTTTTTTGTTGTATAACAACAAATAACTATAGCCCTGCCTCAGAGAGAGAGAGATTCTAGACCTTTTCCTCAACAAAAAGTGTCGTATTAGACGTGCATAGTGATCATCGCATAGGAATATAAGCCTACAAATAAATTGCATATAAGAATCAGATTCTCTAAATCCCTGAAACCTTAAAATAACAAAGCACATGGAATTACAGCGATCAAAACCACATTAATTACCGGGGAAAAATAACATCCATTCTCAAAACTCGAAGACCCGTTCAACTCCACACATATCAAATGCAATAAAATCTAAAAACACTGTCGTGGCCCCAATATACATTCATAACCCTTCTTTACATGACAAAAACTGAGGCACCTAGGCTTATCTGAACACATCTCTCATGAAAAAAATAAAACAAGCATAAGATTTCAAGCTTATGCTTACACAAGCTCCTGTTCTTGTGTCACAGATGATATCATATTTAAACGTGTGTTTCTGTTGGGGTTATTGAGGTGGTGGCCTGCCACGGCCCATTGTGAATCCACGGGTCCCATCAGGCATTCTGGGCCCTGGTGGCTGCTTCATCGGAGCTTCACTACCAGAAATTCCACATACCAGTCCAGCTCCTGAGAGGAAAGAAGTTAGAAAGAAAGAGAACATAAAATAAGCACTAAGTCTGGGTTTAGCCTTTGTATATGTTCACCTGATGGAGAATAAGCGTAAAGCCCCAAATGAGAATCACTACAAATGAAAAATTTTCAATTTTGTGCTTTCTCTCTCTCACATACACATGCATTCACTTGTCATGCCTAGGGAATGCTGTTTTGCACTACCTTAGGGCACTAAAGCAAAAGTAATGGTGGCATCTTTGGCATTGGCATAATGTTCCATAATGCGCCTCAAAAACCACGGAAGCTCCTAGTTCTGACGGCAACTTGCTGGAGATTTTCGTAAAACCCCGACCCTAACACTTGAATCTGATTCATGCGAATTGCTCGCCTGAGCCAAGCTTATGCGTCATCACCATTCATTTGGGAGTCGACGCTTCCAACGCTCACTTCATGGTTTTACTAGAATATATCAATAGGCATTACGTTGGACATTGCTGGTGACGATGCTCAAGTCACCAACAATAGCGCTTGACTATGCCTTCTCCAGTGGCCAACTTTGTGTCAAAACCAAAAGTACGTATATGATGAAGGAATGATATTTCGCATCACCTAAAGGTATCGAAATAAGAAAAGGACAGGGCACACCACGAACACAGATTTTGTTAAAAAGTTCCGAGTTTTATTTATAGATAAAGTCAATAAGAAATAGTCCAGTAGTAGTGAATCAAAGACCTAGCCGATTCCTCGCTGTCTTCGGCAAACAGAGCATATATCATGATTTAGTGACTTTCAATCCATTCTAAGAGACGCGCCATCATTTCCTTAGCCTCTTCGACTGAGGCGGGCTCTAGTTCAGCCAGACGCTTGGGACGCCTTGGTGAAGCAGGTGGAGTTGTTTTCTCCCTCCTCCTATCTTCATCCAATAACAGGGGCAGGAACGGTGTAGGGGAAGCGTGCTCCCACCAACATTCGTACATTGTAGTACATTCTAATAGCTCTTTCTTCACGAGACGCTCTTTCTTTGAAGAAGAGCATGCCCGGCATTGCATCATCGCAGGCTGCAGCATACTGTAGGAAAAGAGGCGAAGAGGAATAAAAGAACGTATGTCAAACCTCGCCTGGTCCGCCACATAACTTTGGTAGAACCGAAACTGGCACATTACTTGATGGGGAAAATACCCTCGCAGAAACTCGGTCTAGCCAGAACCAAATGGGCACATGAAGATCGAATCCTTCAACCCTTTGATACACAATTTGAATTTCGACAGTTCGTCCAGAATTTGACGATACGAGTCGATCGGCAAGGGCTTGGCCCCGTCATCCTTGTAGGACAAGCCCCTTGCCTCGACTACCTTGATTCTCACCCTTGCGCGTCTAAGAACGACGCTATGCTCGTAGGCCCACACCTGCAATATAGAAAAGTGAAGAGCCAGATTGTCAGAGCCGCAGAAAGTGAAGTGAAATAATAAAAATGAGAAGGAAAAATACTTGGAGAAATAACTTCCCTCCTTGCATGATCCGGCTACTTCAGGCAACTCGGTCGTAGAGGCCGCGGTAAATGCCCACAAGGATGGCTGGCACAATTGAAATCTCCCGGTTCAAAATATTGCGACGAGCAGGATTAAGGCCGAGAGAACTGTTTTCCTACCAGTCAGGAATAATACAAGTCCAACAAGGCAGAAAAAGAAAGTGGCCAATCGCACCTCGGAGGGAGGCCTGGCCTGAGTCTTTACTAGTACCACAAGGCCAACTCACACGACTCTCAATGGAAACCAAACCCTCAGGAAACACCTGCCTGCCGGAGCATAGTTGTCATTCTAGGTCGGCAGATGATAGGGGATAGCTTTAACCCTCAGACTCGAAATACATGCCAGCTCCTCCATGTCAGGATAACCTCATATGTAGGGAGAAAAAATATATTTGTAAGTAGATTAAACCGCTCAAACAATGCCTCAAGTAAGTTAAAGTTCACGTGGGAATAAGAGTGGCAACGTGCTCGATCGGTTGGACCTAGACCTGAAAAAATATTATGGGTCTCGAACCCGAACCGGAAGTCACTAGACCCGGACTTGAAAATATAATGCGGGACCCGGACCCGACCAAAAAATCAAAATATCTATATATATTTCATAAATTTGTTAAATATATACATGCATTATTTAAAGGAAAAAGTTTATCTAAGGATGCAACCTTATAATGTAGATCTACGGATGCACCTCAAAATCCATTGGAAAAGGTAGTTTTAATGTTGAAAAACCCTTTGATTGATCATCTCGACATCGAGATGTATGACCATGAAAAATAAAAAGATTTTAGGTCTTAGAAATAGTGCATTTTACAACATATTATCTACACCGTCCATTTTCAAGATTTTCATATGTTTATAGATCTACTTGATTTTAAACATTTTTTAAATTTAAAATATTATAATTAGATATAAAAATAGAATTTGAGATAATTCTAAGAACATTTTACACCAAAATTATATACCATGATAATATTTGAAGGTGCACCTTACCTCTACAGCTACAAGATGCATCCGCATGCCAACTGCACCCTTATTTAAATATTGTAACAAAACATATATAGTTATATTACTTAAATATCATATAATAAATATTATTTAAATATCAACCCTAGTCGAGTTGATTCTACATAGACGTCCAAGATTTGGACCCGGACCCGGACTTGACCCACCAGGTCCAATTTTTTGATCCATACCCAATCTCTAAATTGTCAAGCTCAGCTGATTCGAGATCTTCCCACAACGTTGATCATTATGGTGTGCCCATTGTTTCCAAAGGCAGACTGCCTAGCGCCTAAGCGACCGCCTAGGCCGTCCGGGGCTTGGGTGCATCGCCTAGGTGACCAAATTAAGCGGGTTGTGCCTGAGCGGCTGCCTGGACGGTAGGGCACCCGCCCACGCAGCCGCCCAGTAGCAGAAATGCCCTTCGTTGACGATCTTTTTTGGGTTTTTGTTTTCTAAAAAAATTGTTTTTAAAGGTGGGTTTTAGGTTCATTTGAAACCTAAACCCACTAGAGCCCATTTTAGAGAGAGAAACCTCAAAATATTGTTTTTGAGTTTTTAGTTTCGACTATCTAACTCTTGTGTGTATGCTTGTATGGTTCTAGCATTGTATGGAATTATGGATTATGGACTATCTAAATTCTCCTCATACATGGAAATATGGATTATATGTTACATAGTTATACTGTTAGACTTAGACACTTAGACTACAAACATTTTTCTTTCTACTGGGCCACCCAGGTTCTGGGCACCCCCCTAGGCGCTGGGCGGCATGGACCCCTCTGGCCGACTAGGTGCCGCCTAGCGTTTTTTGAAACACTGGGTGTGCCAACCCGAGCAGAATCTCGGTGATCCCATTGGGTCAGTTTTACTTCAGTCATGTTACATTTTTCTAGAAGAATCCATGTTGTGAAAGGGTATATATTTTTGCCACAACCAGAAGTTCAGTGTTCATTGCTGAGAACTATCCATATATAAGGGAAAGATTGTGCCTACAACATGCTTCCTCAAGACTTGATGGTCATCTTGATGCCCCGGGATCTAGCGAGAGGGGACTTCTCTTGAAGACAGTAGCTAATGTTGGATCTCTTGATTGTTCCATTAGGGTCTTCTATAGAGACAGAGAGTCTGTTGTCCCTTTGGAACTTTTGACCAAATGCACAGGGGTCGAGTCATTGGGATTTGTTCGCGATTTCAATAGCCCCTCATAACCTTTTGAGGTGCAGAAGGGCTATAAGAATGCCTTTTATGGCCATTAAAGACCCCTGTAATCGTTTTGCCTGGTGCAGGATCCGTGTCGCCGCCCATCTTGGATAACATCAATGCTGCCAACGCTAGCCGCTGCTAGTAATGATAATGAAGGCAAGGCGCCAATGTCAAGAGTCACCATGCCAAGTCATATGGCTCCAAATTTTCAAATTTTTTGGGTCATGACTGTTGACAAACGCACATGGTCACTGTGTGGCGCATCAGTGTTGAACAAGATCTCACTAGTCTCGGCATTACTATTGCCAAGATTGACGTCAACGGTGACAACGTTGTACCCATTTGGCCCTAGATCTTTGCAGGTTCCTAGGTCTATAAATAGGGGGTGCCTTGGCATTCAACCCACCACCTTTTTCCAAGTTATCCCCTTTTACTCGGATATTTTTGTGCCCCTTTTTCCTGTTTTTCTGAAAATATCACAACACTGGAGGAATGCTCCTACTGCTAGAGAGGAGGATATCCCCTCTTATAAGGAGTCCAGGCCCTTCCCAGAGGACCTCCTGAATCACATCACCCATTCGGTTTTGGCCAAGGAGAGGCTCCGACAGATCCGAGGGTTCCCTTTGATCCTCTCTTGGTTTCAAGAGTGGAACCTCGCCACTTGAGACTGGGCAGAGCTGGTCATTGCCCTCACCATCGTGTCTATAGTGGGAGTTTTTAACATGATGACTTCCCACATGAAGTTCAACTTATTTGAAACCTTTGCCAAGCGATTTAATCTGCTTACAAATATATTTTTCCTCCCAACAAGTGGGGTCACCTTGACCTTGGAGGAACTGGCCCGTATTTCGAGTAAAAAGCTTAAAGTTATCTCTTATAATCCACCGATCGAGAACAGCGACATGCTCCGGTAGGTAGGCGTTTCCTGGGGGCTCGATTTCCATCGAGAGTCGAGTGGGTCGACCTCGAGGTACTAATAATGACTCAGGCTGAGGCTCCCTCTAAGGACCGGTTGCAATCGGGAGATTTCAATTATCTCAGCCATTCTTGCAGGCATTTACCGTGGCCTCTACAACCAAGTTGTCTGAGGAAGCCGATTCATGCAAGGATGGATACTATTTCTTCAAGTATTCGGCCTTCTTTCACTTCCAGTTCATGCAAGGAGGGATGTTATTTCTCTAAGTATTTTGCCTTATCTTCTTTTGCTATTTCGGTTCATTTTTTGTGACTTTGAGAAGCTCGGGCACCTTACTTATACTTTCCTGTATTGTAGGTGTGAGCCTACGAGCATATCCCCGTTCTTAGGCCCTTAAGGGGGAGAAAAACAACAATCAAGATGCGGGGGTTGACCTACTACGGTGACTAGGCCAAGCTTTTGTCGATTGACTCGTATCATCAGATTCTAGATGAACTATTGAAATTCAAATGGTGGTTCAAGGGGCTGGAGGACGCAATCTTCACACTTCCATTCCTTGGCCACAAGCATTTGGTTATGGCTAGACCGAGTTTCTGTGATTTTCGCATCGAGTGATGCGCCCATTCCAGTGATACCAAAGTTATGTGGCGGACCCAGCTGATTCGACAGGCACTTTTTTACCCTCTTCGCCCCTTCTCTTACAGCGTGCTGTAGCCTGCGACAATGCGACGGCGGGCATGCTCTACGTAGAAGAAAGAATGTCTCACGAAGAAAGAGCTGTCAGAATATAGCGCAGTGTACGACAGTTGGTGGCGGCATGCTTCTCCCACGTCTTTCTTGCCCTTTTTATTGGAGGGGGATAGGAGGGAGGAACTGCCTCGACTTGCTTCACTGAGTGTCCCAAGCGTTTGGCTGAACTAGAGCCTATCTCTAGAATGGATTAAAAGTCACTAGACTATGATCGATGCTCTGTTTGCCAAAGACGAGGAGGAATAGGCTAGGTCTGTAACTCACTAGTATTGTACTAGTCCTTATGGATTTTATCCATGTATAAAACTTGAGACTTTTCAATGAGATGTGTGTTCATGGTGTGCCATGTTCGTTTCTTATTTCGATCCCTTTACATGATGCAAAATATCATTCTTTAAGCATATGCGTACTTCGGGTCTTCACACAAAGCCAACCACAAAATTTGTTGGGCTCTGGAGAAGGCACGACCAGACACCATTGTTGCTGACTTGGGTGTCGTCACTGGCAACGCCGAGCATATTGCCTATTGGTACATTCTAGTAAGCCACGGAGTGAGCGTTGAAAGCGTAGATGCCCAAGTGAACGGTGATGACACATGCTTGGCTCAGGCGAGCAATTCCCATTAGGATTCAAGTGTTAGGGTCTTCTACGAAAATCTCTGGCAAGTTACCGTTAGAACTGGGAGCTTTTGTGGTTTTTGGGGGAGCATTAGAGATCATTATGTCGGTGCCAAATATGCCGCTGTTCCTTTTGCTTTTATGTTGTAGTGTAGTGCAAAACAACATTCCCTAAACTTTCTAGATGTTCACCTTGATGGCAAGGGACAGCTTTGGACAACAAATAAAATGAAGTCCACAAAACAGAGAAATTGGATGACAAATTTTAATATTTCGGAAGACATGGAAATTTGATCATAACACAACGATTTTGTATTTGAGTCATTTTAAATATGAAGTTCATGAAAATTACCATGACCATCATTGTGATGTTGACCATGTCCTTTTCCTCGGCCTCGTCTTCGACCTCTCAATCCTTCTCGTTCACTTGGTGAATGCCTCTCTACCTGCTATAAATGAAACCATTTCAGGTCAAGCCAAGCGGAGATCAGATTATGAGTACTGCAACTATTTCAAGATTCATCACTGAATAGACTTTGCAAGATGACCAAGATCCAAGTTTTCTTCTTCCTAAAATGACTACTCCATCAAAATTGAGAAAAAGAGCCCCACGTGCAGCATGAATATTTTCGCAAAGATGTGCCATTTGTTCAAAGAAATCTTGAAGGTGTGCAAGATGTCCAGAAGAATAACAGGATGATCCTTTACAACCGAATAATAAATTAATGAAATAACCAATTCATTCGTGGGTATCTAGTTATTTAAAAGTCGACATGTATTGAAGAAACTAGCAACCAGTAATTCACGTTGTGTTAGACAAACCCACAACTTTGTGATTTGACACACACACACACACACATGTAAACACAAATGCAGGGATTATTTTTAGTCTTTGGAAGCTCAAGGAAGCTCCAGTCTGTCTTGAAGTTTCTGAAAACAAAGACAGAAATACTATTTCATTTTCATATGCATACCACTTTCAAGTAGCCTCATTAAATCCTAACCCCTTTCTTTTATTTAAATTATGAGGCCAATGTGGTGATGGTCCATCAAGGGTAATGCCAAAATTTTCCCAATTCTGCCGAAAGAACAAAAAAATAACCATAATAATAACGAAGAGACTCACCTCCATATCAGACTTCTCCGTGTGAAGTTCATGAGTTTTGTAATTTGCTTCATCTCCAATGTCAGAATTCGATGCACTATTGCTGCTCTCAGCAACCAGTCCTTTCCGGCTTCTTGGGGCCGCTCCATACATGCCCTGAGATGGAACCATATAGGAGAGTCAGATGCCAACATCAACACCTAGATTAGGAGGATAAAAGAAAATTTTCATATTACCATACGCTTGAGAAGAAGTTGGACCCGCATCCCGCTTCTCCAGTTCCTTTCATCGTTAAGAACAGCTACCTGCCCAAATTAGCAATAGAAAGGCAAAGCAGCAGTGAATGGCTAATACTAACAGGTGTTCATAGGGGAATCAATTAGAAAACAATGAATTGGATGATCAAAATGTGCTCGAATCCTCTTACAGCTTTCTCAGCAGCCTCAACTGTCTCATACTCCACAAGGGCATGTAACTAGAGAATCACAAGGGCATCAATAATACAATTAGGTATTTACCAACCAATATCAACAAACCCACAACTCAATGAATATATATTACAAGAACATGCTGCCATGGCAAGTGACATGTAAAAATAAACTCTAAATTGTGTGATCCCTACATGAGCTCCTCATGAAACTGTTCCAAACCTCCTCAAGAAAAACTCTCACAGAAACATTCTGATAATAATATAACCAAACGAACTTCCATCTCACTATTTCCTTTCACTGCAAATATCCAGCAGACCAAGTTGAAATGGTTTTTCATAATGACCGAGTCTGCCACCAAGCTTGAGGTTTTGAAAACTCGAAAGAGAGAGCGAGAGCGAGAAAGAGAGAGAGAGAGAGAGAGAGAGAGAGAGAGAGAGACAGACAGACAGAGAGAGAGAGAGAGACGCCTA